CTCTCATCTCTCATCCTAAATCCAAAAGTGTCTTCAGGACCTGAGTCCATACTTTTATGATTCCATTTCTGCAGTGCACATCTTGGGCTTGCTAAATCATTTATTTTTGCATTTCCTCTATGTATAAATGCAGCATATGTAATAAAACAACTATTCATCAAAAAGAGATTCAGGACACAGAGGGTTGCATTTTTAGAGCGTTGGAACAATAGGTGCAGCTGCAGAAAATTACAGGTATGGCAGCGTTCTCTACCGTGCTCTGAGCTCCTGTGCATGGGTGAGCATGTGCACATGAGGCTGGATCCTTTTCTGGCTAAATACACCCTGAGTATTGACACAGGTGGGGTACCCTCAATAATCCCTGCTCAAGTAGAACAGGCCTATTCTCTAAAAAAAGACACTTATTCAAAAAAGGAACATGATGCAGACAGACACACACAGACTAAGAAGCGGACTGTGGCACAGCACTGAAATGGAAAATAAAGGCCCTTTTCAGGCTTTCTTTCTCTTTGTCTGGATTCTGCCGGAATGCTGGGTGGGCTAGGCCATGGGCTGTTCACGGAGGCCACACATAGGAGGGGAGGGCCACGGGAGGGGTGCTGATGGGAAAACCATTCACAGAGACACAGAAGGCTGATGGTCACTGCCAGAGGGCTGGGGTGTGGAGGCAACTGGAGGGCAAGCATTGAAGCTGGAGGACAGCAGGGAGCTGGCACTGCAGGGCCCAGTCCAGAATCCTCGGGGGTACAAAGCTTATTCCTCTGTTCTGCATATATGTGTCAGGATGGGCAGAGAGGACACCAGGGGTGGGAGGGTGGTAAATCTGGAGGTTGTGGACAAAAGAGGAGAGACTCTGCAGGTCTGGTCTAGAAACGTCCCCCCTTACCCGACTGCCCATCTCCTGCCTCTTGCTGGCCAACGTTGTACTGATTTGTGACTATCCCCCAACACCTGACAAGTGGCCATCTCCAGCTCAACTCGCCTGGATGAGTCAGGGACAGTGGAGTCTGAAACCTTACCCACTCTGACTTAATCACCAAAGTTAAACACCTTCCTGAGGCAGGTGAGATACCATAACGTGTTTCGGGAGCAGTTTTGTAGAAGGACGGTGTCAAGGGCTGTCTCTGAAAAGAGAGAACTGGTTGTCTGAATTTTCCACCTCCAGAGCCTTCTCTGTGGCTGGAAGAGCAATTACGCTCATTTTCACTTTTCTTTTTTTAACCTAGGAGCGATGTGTCCTCTGTATTGTTGTGGAGACTGGATAAATGAGACAGATAGATGGGGGCAGGGTGAGTAGGTGACAGAGTTGGCCACCGAGGTACCTTTGTGATCCATCTCTGCGGAAGCCGGCATTCGTTCCATGGGGCTTCAGCAAGACTGATACCCAGCAGTGACAGTTTGGACATCTAAACGTGACCTTGGATGTGCTCAGAACCGCAGCTGGAACTGTGCCAACTTCTCAGAGTAGTATATTACAGGGGCCGCAGAACCATGCTGGAAATTGGCTGGGCTCAGAGTGGTGATGCATCTGCAGACGAACCTCTGTGGCCCCTTAGTGCAGTGCGGCGTTGGGGGACAGCCTCCGTTTCTGTCAATTTTCAATAATTAGATGCTCACAAAGAAGCTCAGGACAGTCCTCTCGTATTCATCAGGAGGTGGTGAGATGCCCTCGTTGTGGGCATCAAAAATAATTATTCAAGCCGTTTAGTGTTTGTCAGTCAGCATTTCCTGCTCCGTGGCCACTCATCTGGGACTTGTCAGATTTCAGCTCCTGGGGGAGAAAATAAAGGACTCTGCCTCTGGTTTTTCAGAACATATGGGTTACAGGAAAGTTCTCTCCTGTAAAATTTTGGAAAACTGTTTTATACCAGGGTCCTTCCCTACTGCCTATTCACTCTGCAGCTCTCATTTTGCCAGGAAACACATACTTAAGTTAGAGGTTCTCAGGGAACTCTCCAGACCAGCCTCAACAGCACTTGGAATTATGTCAGAATGCAGCCTCCCATACCCTGCCAGGCATACTGAATCAGAAACCCTTGGAGTGAGGTCCCAGTATTCTTTTTTTTTTTTAATTAGGTCTTCCAGGTGATTCTGATGCATGGTGAATTTGAGAAGAACGGATTTCGATGTTCTTTTGGGACGTCCTAGAAGAACACTAAGTTTGGAAAACAACAAAACAAAAACTGGCATGAATCCTGGTTCTGCAGTTTAATATCAGCATGGTCTTAGTCAATATGGCTAATGTTTTTTAGCCTCGGCTAATTTTGTCTGTAAATTGGCAATAAGAGAACCCAACCAAGTTTGTGAGATGATAAAATAGTGCATATAGTGGGCCCATGTAGTCAATTGACATTGACCGTGAATGTGAATTTATCCAGTTCCCTCTTTGAACCCAAGTGAAGGTCAGAGCAGTAGCCACCCTTCAGGTCATTAATACAAATGATCCTGGATACATTACTAGCAAAGCAAGCTGCAAAGTGTGTTTTTGTTCTTGAGACATTTCAAACTTATGTCGTTCCAAATTCATGTTTTAGACAAGGCAGTACCAGATGACAGTCATGGGGTCTCCAAGGAGTGTAAGGGAAGGTACAGGGTCAGTGCGCCCGCCATCAACTGCACTTTTCTTCTTCTCATTCACCCTCAGAGTCAATTGTCATCAAAGTCACAAGAAAGGCTTGGAGTGTCCTCCTGACCAGTTCAAACGTCATGTGCATTCAACCTACCTGGACATCTTATTAAAATGCAAACTCAAATTTGTTATCTCTGAGATGAGACCTGAGATTCTGCATTTCTGATGAACTCCTACCCAAGTGATGCTGATGTTGCTGGTTTGCTAACCACACTTTTGTGCAGTGCGGTGCTAGCTCAGTGCATCTCAAACCCTCAGGTGCATAAAACGCATGTCTAGATAATGAACTTGTAGTTGGGACTCAAGGAATGACCTAAGGCCATCAGCACTGTCATCACCAGAGAGCCTACTAAAAATGCAGAATCCCAGGCCCTACCTCAGACCTGCTGAATCAGCATTGGCATTTCAGCGAAATCCCTGGGGGCTCCTGTACACAATAAAGCTTGAGAAACATGCAGAGTTGGCTTCACAACTTTATTTGCATAGACACCTGCACTTGGTTTTAATGCTCTGTTCTCACCATCTTCAAATCCTTAGTCATTCTTGAACAAAATACTCTGTGTTTTTATTTTGCACTGGGCCCCACAACTTATGTCATTTGTGGGGCCCATATTAGCTTCTTATTAGTGGTTTTGAAACATTAGTGTGTGTTTGACCCAACTGAGATGTTGCTATAAAATCCCAAATATTCTGAATCAGTAGGATGAGGGTGAGACTCAGAATCTGTAATAAACCTCTCCTATGATTCTAATATAAGTAGTCCATGTTTACTTTGAGAGATACTCCTCTGAACTTCCCCAAGTTAGGTCTTCACTCATTTCCCTGCTGTGTCAGAATGGTGCCAGAGGGAGCTTGGCTCTCATCTGCATTGCCACAAAATGAAATAAGCAGCAAAAAACTTGTGGACACCTGTGCCAAGATGTTTCTTGTAAGGCAGTTTTTCCCACAAGAGCTCTCAGCAAACTATCCATCAGCACCGAAGTGGTCTTGCCATAATGGTGAGACATTTACGTAAGCAAAGCAGAAAGAATGCATGGTACGGGATGTCTCATCGGGACAAGGGCCTCCTGAAGAAGCAGGTGTGTGCAATCGCGGTTGGTAGAATTTCTATGGCCACAAACCATTTTGAGAATCCAATAGAAGCAATCACCCATCCCCGATGAAAACTTCACCTTTGCACATTATGAGGCTCACACAAGACCAGGGATTAGAAGACCTAGCTGAGAGATCTGACTTCTGTACTTTTAGCTCTCATCCCCTGGACAAGTCACCAGACTGTTCAGAACTTTAGAGTCCTTATCTTTAAAGTAAAGAATGAGTACCAGTATCAACCTCACAAATTTGTTGCAAAAAATCAAATAAGACATTGAGCTGCAAAAGTGCTTTGTACACCGCAAAATAATGTATACATTTGAGGCATCCTTATACATACTATGCTACATTGTTATTTCCAGTGTTATAGTCAGAATGAGGGCACTGTGTTTGTGAATTTAGCCTAAGGCCACGGAACAGACTTGCCGTAGCAAGAGAGGGAAATAAATACAGACAGAAAGACACAATGAGGACTTGGCTAGGGTGGCTAGGAAATTTAAAAGTCTAGAAAAGACAAAGGAGCTTCCACAATTCAAGGACTCCAGATGCAAAAATAAAAGAAAGAAAATCTATTTTTATATGTTCAGACAGTTTTGAGATTTTGGAAAGTGGCTTTAGTCTAGCAGTAACTGAACATTTCTGCCCCTGGGTATAATGAAGATGAATAGCAACAGTGGTGGTCTGTATTTAGTTTTGACTGCAGAAGCCTTCTGTGGGAATCTGCTCTTCTGAGATGAGAGGAATGATGTTTAGTAGTTAAAAGCTGGGCGTCTGATCTAACACGTATTTATTGTGTGACTTGGAGAACTAGTTTCGTTTCGTTTCCCTGCTCTTCAAGGCCTTTTTCAATAAAAGATTCTTCATAGGGTTGTTGTGCAAGTATTGAATGACTTAGTGCACCCAAAACACCTAGACATAAATGTGAAGGATTGTCATCACCCACATCATGGAAACCCTTGAGCAAAGGGAGATCTGGTAGTATTCGAAGTATCCAGTTATCCCGGGCATGCAAGATGCCTCCAGGTTATAACTGAAATCCTGTTTGAAGTGGTTCTGTGCTCAAGTGGTTTGAGAAGCACTGAGCAGCGTTCTGAGGCTATAACTCACAAGGCCTTTGCTGTGTTCCAGAAGTCTACCCCTGACAAATCCAAGGAAATGTATATATTGGGGGAAGGGACAAAGACAAGATATTCTAGCCTTGCCGTGAGGAACCCCCCCACCCCCGATGGCTGCTGTTGTCTCTCAGTCCCTTGACATACCTGTCTGGTCTTCTCTTCAGGTGCACTATTGACAACCGGGTCACCCGGGTGGCCTGGCTAAACCGCAGCACCATCCTCTATGCTGGGAATGACAAGTGGTGCCTGGATCCTCGCGTGGTCCTCCTGAGCAACACCCAAACGCAGTACAGCATCGAGATCCAGAATGTGGATGTATATGACGAGGGCCCATACACCTGCTCTGTGCAGACAGACAACCACCCAAAGACCTCTAGGGTCCACCTCATTGTGCAAGGTAGGTGGGCATGGCTTGGTGGAGAGGTCTGGATGGCTAGCCGGGAAAGCCTTCGGGTAAGCGTTTTTTTCTAATCCTCAGCAGAGATGAGTTCTCCTTGTTCTATGCGTCCAGGGTCCAAGATACATTTCTGGTTGTCGTCTTGCAGTTAGAAGCTAAATTTTCCAGTCATTTCATTGAGAGGAACTAAGATTTTTTTTTTTCATTTTTGTTCCAATACTATATTTTCTCTGAAAATTATCTTTTAATTATTGCTTTTCTTGGCTTTTTCTCCTCTAAGTTTTAGTTTTTGTTGTTTTTAGATTTCATCCAATTTCAAGACTGTGTTATGTTTAAAACTAGAATTTTAATGCACTTTTGGAGCTACGGGTGTGCCACGCCCGCCTCCAGCCTTGGAAGAAAGCAGAGCCAACCAGGACGCATGGGCACTGTCCTCAACTGCATCCTTCACAAGTGCCTGCTTGTTTCTAGCTCACTTGAACCTCCTCTCATCTCCCAGCCAGGGGTTTGGGGTGTCATTTCTCCCTAGTAGTACTGGTGTCTGACTCTCCCCATTTTGATTCCATCCCAACTCTGCCAGCCTTCTTCTGCTACCCAGCGTCCTGGCTTCTGAAGCTTTGCATGTTTACGCACGCACGCATGTGTGTGTGTGTGTGTGTGTGTGTGTGTTGGTTCTGCTCTCTAGACCCTGGGAATGGAATGGAGCTCATGGAGCTCACTTCTTCCTGCAAGGCACAACCAGTCCTGGGCATTCACACAACACTTAACCTGGTGGCAGGATTCCTAGTTAGTGAGCAAGAGCTGGCATCACACTTGGTCGCTTTCTGGCTATGAGACCTTAATCAAGTTGTGACCATGTCTCAGGGTTCTCTTTCTGTAAAGCAGGTCAATGTGAGGACTGAATTGTACACGTATTGACATAGAACACACTTAGAAGAAGGTCTGGCACACACAAGTGCTATTTCATTATTAGCTGTTGACTTTCTTTTCTTTTCTTTTTTAGTACTCTTTACAATTTTTAAGTCTTTTGAACATCTTTTACAGTGGGCCAAATATCTTATTTTGTGATGTCAACAGCGTAGCCCCTGAGCAGCGCCATGCCAGCTCCCGTGCTGGAGCCATTTCCCAGCCTGACCCCAGGCCCCTTCAGCCAGGGACAAACAGCTCCAGGGTGACAAAATCCTCTCCTAGGGGCTCCTTCCACTGGCCCCCTTGTCAGTGTGTTCAAAAAAGGGTAAATAGCTATGGGATGATTGGTTAGAGACAGAATACAAAGGAAGGCAGCTTCAGAAAGAAAGAAGAACTGGAGTGAGCTGGAAGAAGGAAGGGGCGGCCGGCTGTTGGACAGCAGGAGAAGGAGGAGCCAGGGTCGCGATCAGCACTGTCCAGTAAGGCAGGATCAGCAGGACTGAGAAGAGGACACCCGAGGACACGCTGATGCTGGACCTGGCTCTGGCCAGAGCTTATGCCAGGGGGCACTGGAACCCCTCACGCTGTGGCCCAAGTTTGGTCATGCCAAGTTTTTATCATATTTTGTTTACTCTTTCTTCCCCAAAGGAAATTACAATGGCTCTTTAAAAATTGATTCTATAAATGAATATCTTTGAACTGATGCATGCAAACAGCATTTTTAAGGAAAATAGAATTGCACAGAAGGTGTCAGAGTATATTACAAAGAGCGGGTAGGTGCTGCCACGTGAGATTTTTCTTTCAGTTTGTGTACATTTTTTAATGTAAAATACATTTTGTATTGCGGATGAGGAGACCAAAAATGCTTGTGAATCTCCACTCTGGGGGGCGATGGAGAAGTCCCCAGTGCCACCATCTGCACAGTCTACCAGGTGGTGCTTTGGAAGCCATTGCTCAGCTCCCCTCCTGCCCTGCCCCGACCCCTGCACACTTACTGTTGAGAAAAGAATACCAAGCATTGATAATGAGAGACTGGGAAGTAGGAGCTATCATAGACATTTGCTTTAGGAAGTAGGGTCTTACGGAACTGGAAAACGGAAGGAATTGTGAAAATGCTAAAGCCTCCTTGAAAACAAGGATCATATTTTTGTGATTTTCTTTGTTCGGCCACCCCCACTCACACACCCCCACACACCCCTGCCCTGAACACCTGGCAGAATGCCTTATACAAAGTGAACATTTAATAAATGCTTATTGAAGCAAATGACTAGAATTAGAGCCAGGTGGCTTTCTTTGGGCTCCGAGAGAGAGGACTGGGTGTGTGTGGGGGTGAGATGAGGGGAGGGGGTGGGAGGATGGAGTCTACATCAATCTTCACTCATGTCCAAGCTAATGGAAAATGTCTAATCCCCAGCTAGGCGTTTACATCTGTGACTTGGCTAGGTGCCCTCTTCCCATGACACACCACCTCAAGTATTGGAATCTCATCTTGGGCTAATTTTCGAATGCTGATGGGTGTATTGATCTGGAAACAAGCTGGGTTAAAAAAGGCATTGGTCTTGTACACAGACCCAGCCTAAGCTAATCCGCTGTCGATATGCCTGGACTGAGTATTATCGACACGTTAATGAATAGAGGACCACAGATTTTTCAGAGCCAAACTGACCCCCTCTTCAAAGTAATCAGACAAACTACATAGAGCCAGACTCCTGTGTTTCTGTACTGGAAAGAAGATGCACCACCATCCTGGATTACAAAAAAAAAAAAAAAAAAGAAATAAAAAACAAATATATTTATCTTGGGATCATTTATTATACCGAATATAAACCCTAATTCGCCTAGCAGAAGCTGACTGTCTGGATTTGAAGTTGCCATTCAGCCCTGAGTGCAGTGCTTCTGGAATAAAAGTTGGGCATATTAGGTTTTCAAAATGGTATTATGATCATTTAAAAAAAGAAATAAAAACAGCAGCAACAAAAAGGAACTAAATTCATATTCTGCCCGTGAGTATGTGTATTTATGTATATGTAGTCAGCTTCATATATAAATAAACCTACACAGAAGGAAGGTAATGACATTTCACAGCATTGTGCAAGCTGCTTCAGGTCTGGAGTTGTGTCTTTCCCCTTACTGACAAATATCACATCTACCCCCTAGTTCTCTGTGCTGGATATTCTGCCTCTGTGGTTCTGATCTGATATGGTTAGTTCTTGCAGACAGCCATGATGCAAAGGCCACCACATGGGGCAGGTCTCTGGGGCAAGCTAGGAGCAAGGGCCATCCTTGGGGAGGAGGGTGACCCTGGAGCCACTGTGAGAGGGAGATGGAGGAGAAGGCAGCAGAAAGGGGGAGACAAGAGAACTGAGCTAAGTAGCTACCTGCCACATGGCTATTTAAAATTAAATTTAAATTAGCTACAACCAAATAACATTTAAAATTTACTTCTTCAGTCACACTAGCTACTCTGAAATGCTTCCATAATTATGTAGGACTGGGGTTCCCTTGTATTAATTCATTTTGCATCACTATAAAGGAATGCCTGAGGCTGGTAATTCACAAAAAAAGAGGTTTATTTGGCTCATGGTTGTGCAGGCTGTACAAGAAGCATGGCACCAGCATTTGCTTCTGGAGAGGGCCTCAGACTGCTTCTATTCATGGCATGGGGTGAAGTGGACCCAGCATGCACGGAGATTGCATGGTGAGAGAAAAGGCCAGAGACAGCAGGGACGGTGCCAGGCTCTGTTTAACCACCAGCTTTTGAGGAAACCAATAGATCAAGAACTCACCTGCTGCACCCCCTGCATTTATCTCTTTATGCTCCGTCCTCATGGCCAAACATCTCCCGTTAGGCCCCCACCTCCAATATTGGAATCAACGTTCAACATGAGGTCTGTGGGAACAAACACCCAACCTACTGCACTCCTGTATCAAACAGTGCAGAGAGAGAACATTTATGTGGACTTCCACTGTAAAAGCTCTGTTGGGTTGTGCTATAAAGGGTTGTTATATGGATCAGCAGGAGTTAAAGCTAGAATAGTTTTTCATGACGTGAAGGGCCAGGTATATCATGGAAAGGAGAGTGAAATTTTGGAAACAGGATGGAAATTGCAAAAAGATGGTGCTCTTTTAAAAACAAGAGGGAATTGTTGAAAAAGATGGAGTAATGGAGTTCCTAGGTAACCTTAGGCAGAGAGAAGACTCTGGAGTCCAAAGATGTACCTGAAGGGGATGAGGCAGAGTTCAGGGGTTGGTTAAGTGTGAGCCTGGAGGTGACAACTCCCCCAGGACACTGAGATTTCTACCAGTGAGCTCTGGGAGAGATGAACACTAATGTATCTACAGATCACATGGCAAAACTGATTCATCAGCAGAGGGGAATGAGTTCAGATACCTGGACTTTTGATTTTGAGATACCTTGAATACTCCCTTCAAAATGTGAAATGTAAGAAATACCACCCATGGATTTGCATGTCCAGAACATAATCTTTTTGTCCAGAGTGAGGGAGATTCATCTAAAATGTATTAACATTTAGGTCTAATGATTACTATCTCTTTGACCTTAGGGTTTTCTGCTTAATAAATGTAATTAATAAGTGGCTGTGTCTGGAGTCTAGCCGAATATTTTATTCCTTTCACTCACTTAATCCTGCTACCAAACCGAGCACCTTGCACATTTGAAAAAGCCCTACTTCTGTCTCCATTGTTCCCGTGAACAGGTTACATCTTGGACAACAGAGTGGATCAAACACTCAGTGGGAAGGAATTGTTTGCCAAATTAAGGACAGCTTGAGAAGACGTCTGAAAGGCCCCGCCTGTGTTTCTAAGAACCCATGAATGGTGGGAGAGCAAAAGTGTACTAGTTGTCCATAGAATATTAAAAGGCCCTCCTTATTCAAGCATGGAAAACCGACTTTTCAGTTTTGACTGGTGAACCTGCAGGACTTCAGTCTCACTTAGAGACACATTTGGATGACAGAGAACAGTAGAATACAGTGCTTATAAAAATAGGGATATTCGTGTAATAATTTTTTTTTTTTAAAAAAGCTTCTAGCCTCTTTATCTGTTTTCTAGGCCCTATCTAAGTTTCTCTT